CGGGCACTTAATTATATCTACCGGTAATCAATCAAGTAAATAAATCAAGTTATGTAATCGTAATTAAATAAATCAGTAATATCGATAGCTAATCAATACAACCGATAATAAGGGTCAATACTTATAAGGTAATAAAGTAATAGGTAATAACAAAATGTATAATATGATCGTGAAGAGCCTTCACGGTTAAGATAAGGGAAATAAAATATAAACTAAATACAACAATAACAACGGTAACTTATATAACATCAATTCGAGAAATCAATTCTTAATACTCCTATATTAAAGACATTGAGGACTAAAGCTTTATTGAAAGGGCGAATAGGTACCCTTTTTATACTTTCGAGATACATAAGAATAAGGCTTACTACAAGAAACTAAGTACATCTCTATCCCTTAGTCCATGTCTGTACTTTGTTTTCTCTAATTCCGAACTTAGCCCGTCCAGACCTAAACCCTCTAAGCCAGGTCCTTGGTTATCGTTCCAAATCCTTACGTTTAACCTCCCTTTACTTTCTATTCTGTGAACCTATCTAAGCTTCAGTACATGTCTAATCCTTACGCCATATAATAACAAACAAATAAAAGAAATCTACAGATATAAAAATAAATAGAAATGACGAATAAATAAATATTTGTACAGATCTAAACTTTTAAGCCTTTGCCTCTGATTCAGCCTCATAATTTCCATATGGTTCCAAACATACACATTCTCGTTACTACCAGTCACGCTTTTTCGAAGAAAAAAGCGTGACAATACTACTTACATTACGATCCTATTATGGAATTAGTTGATGCTGCACCACTCAAAGAACTGGAGGCAGAATACGAAATTAAGAATGATATCCTTGAGTTTTATTTTCAGAAAGATAATTCTATTACTTATCGTCATAAATTTTCGAATATTCGTTCCTACCTTACTCATTCACTCGTAAGTCATTTTGGTTTCGACACATGCTGCTGTGATGGCTAATCATTTAATAGAATTAAACACGTGTCTAGTTTCATTGATTTTTGTATAATTTTTTTTGGATCAATTATGCCGCAGCTTTTATATTAAAAGATTAGTAAAATACTTTTTTCAATCTCAACATCTTTCACTCTTTGCCGCATTCTTAACAATGTTTCGTTTCTGATTTTAAATACCATAATAAAAATTTTATTAAAAAAAAATATTTTGAATTGGTATATATAAAATTTTAGCGTGTAACATGGCAATCAAAACAAATTTATACGTAAGGTGAAAAATTAAACCCCTACTTATTAGAGTAAGAGTGCATTTGGGATTGGGAGATTATAGTCAATATCAAAATTTCGCAATGAATTTTTTTATTTGGTTTCATAAGCGAAGTTTTGAGATATTTACGTTACACCTGATCATGCAATATGACCGGCTCTCCATATTTTTTAACCATGTACACACACAAATTGGTAAGACTGTGAATAATATACAAATATTTTAACGTAATTTTGTAAAAGAAGTGTTAAGACTTCTTTTTACCAGGCTTTGTATCAATTTATCCCGCTAAATAATTATTTAAATCTTTTAGACAATGTATTTGCAGTCTCGCTTCAAATATAATTTACTAAAAACTGTTATACAAGAGATGGGCATCATGTACCTTATCACTGCATGGTGCTCAATCTTCACTATTCACATATCATAATTTAAATTATTGCAATATTGCAACTTTATATGAATTGACACCCCAACTAGTGATGCCTGACGAAACCATGTGATGCTAATTGTCACATGCCATTACTTATAAAAAAAACTAAATAGATT